AAATGAAAGTTTAGTTAAAAGTTTTGTTGGCTCTGCCATGTTCTTGGGGGTTAAAAATAAAAAAGCCTATCCAAGCCATAATATTCTGTTCACACATTCCATCTATCTGCTAAAATCCCCATTGTATCTGAGTGTCTCACAGATATTAGCGAAAGCAGTGTTAATATCCCCATTTCACAGCTGGAGGAGAACTGAGCTACAGAGACATTGAGTGACTTCCCTGAAGTAATAAAGGAAGCCTGTGGCGGAGCCAGGAATTAAACCCAGTCCTAGATCAGCATCTTAACCACAAAACAGTCCCTCCTCTCTTCCATCAGGCACGTGACTATCAATTTAATGTGTTCCATGCATCTTATGAACAGTTAGTTAAAACTCAAAAACATTTGCAATATAAAATGTTTTAGTTTTTTTCCCATTTTTATCAATAAATCTAATGAATGTGCCTTTTTCCGCAGCTGTAGTTCACCCACATTGTTGCAGTAGAGCTTATTATCTCATTTACATTTTTAAGTGCTTTTCAAAGTGTAGGATATCTGGGCTGGAAAGCAAAACATTTCATTTCTTTGTTCTCAGGCCAACACAAAGCACTTCCAAGGTCAGGTATGGTGTAGACTTTCAACAGCAAACATGTTTACATGGCATTTGGAAGCCAGTATAACTGAAAAAATACTGTCTTTACAGCAGTGATGTAAGCCAACTCAGAAAAGCTGAGAAAGGGATGAATTTTGTACCTTGAACAGTTTAACTGATTAACAAACTGTTAACGCATGTCAACAGAGTCCACATGGACAGTTAGTACGTGGCAGGCTAGTGTGGGTAGAGTCACACCCGAGTTTGCAGCAAACTTTGTGTGTCCAGACAAATCCTAATTTGTTAGGCTTTTGTTTTCCATTTGGAAAAAATGGAAACTGCCTTTGTGATTCAAAACTTAAGGCTGGATTTTTTTATTTTTACACTATACTGTGTTGTCCATCCCATCAGTCATTAAACGTAGGCATCGGTATTCCATGGGTAGAACTTTGCATTTTGAAAATTTAGCATAAAAGCTTATACTTCCATAAAACAAATGCCCGGTTGTGTTACTGAGTAATTGGGGTGAGTGCAGTATAGCAATTTTTTTTGCTGAATAATGACTTTTGAACCCTAATCCTATGTTTAATTTTCCAAAAGAGAGGTTATACAGTGCTCCCAGGATAAGCTGTCAACTGTTTAATACATTTTAAGTGCATCCTGCATGAGGAGAGGTAGATTGAAGAGTTTTGTGAGCCCTGGATTCATAGCTACCCTGAGCCGCACACTCGGTAAAACCTTGGATAACATTCCCCCCCCCCCTTCTCTTTTTTCCTTGCAAGTCAGTCAACCTGGCTTCAAAATTCAATACAAACTTGGCAGCATTGAATAGCAGACATTGCATCCAAGCTGTTCTCCTTAAATATGAGGTTTTAGGCATTCAAAGGAATTTTTAGTGTAATTACTAAATATCAGAGGAGGAGGGACATTACTCTCATTTGAATAACAGGGAGCTGCATATATCTGAGTATATATTTTAACAAAAATCCTCTTGCCAATTATCAAACCAAACATTTCATATTTCACAATGATGAGGTAATCAGAAGGTGATACGGTTTCAAGTCTCTAGCATCAATAGTCTGTGGAGCATTTTGAAGTGTTTGTGTCTCAAGAATCTTATTAACTATAGTCCAAGAGTAATGTTGTTGAAGCTATCTCCCTTCGGCATAGAAAAGTAAGACTAGATATATAAGTCTCCTTGTCTATGCTGTGGAAGTGCCCTTTTCATTGACACTTTATGCAGCTTTACACAGTTTTCTTTTGGGATATCCATCAAGGTTCTTACTGTGTAGGAATGGGAATCTTGCGCAGGGACATTATTTATCTGTAATTCTTATTCTCTGGAGATATTGATATGCAAGGATCACACTCCTCCAACCCCACACTTTTCTTTTCTTTTCTTGGATGGGCTTTGATATAATGCTGATTATCTTGATTTGGTGTTTCCTTCTGGATGCTTCACTTCCCATGCAACAAGGGGAACTAATGGAATCATTCAGAGAACAGCCTTGCTACACAACAATGGCTGCTGTGAAGTGACCAGTATTGGACTTGGCTCGCACTCTACCCCACTCAGAAACCTTAAGTGCTAGATGACTTCACCAGACTCTCACAAAGGAGTTAAATGTCTCTCCACCGTCCCAACACCCAAGCATGTTAAGGACTGACAGTTATAATAGATAATGGGAATTGTCTATAAACTCACACAATATATTCTATGTTGGATAATTGTTTAATGGTAATTATCTCTGTAATAGAATAGAATTTACATTTTAAGAAGCAAATGTATGATAGTTAAACCCACATATCCTCAGATTGTCATGTACTTTTCACTGTATGCCCTCTGCACAATATATTTGTGTGCTTTAAAAAAAAAATAAAGACAAAAGGGGGAAATTGATGGATGAGATGGTGCTTTACAAGTTCTCTTCAATGGTGCCAAGTTGTTGCTGTGTTTACTATCAGTACGGTCTTGGTGGATGTATTTACTCGCTACGGACTTTCCCAGTGGAATCCAATGAAAGTTGTTGTTTTTTCTCAAAGACGAAAATACAATAAAACAAAACCGTATACACACATGCTTTTTTATACCACAGAAACCAAGCAAATGAATGAAACTTTCCAGTTAGAGGAAGGTTGGCAGCTTTGAGTGAAGGAAATAAATGTGGTGAGTGGGTGGCATCAGCACAGCTGAGGATCCCTTCCAGTGTACAAACAATTCCCTAATTCTCTTTTTCACCATGACATGCTAGATGGATGATATTAGTTGCTCAATTGAAAATGGTAGTAGAAGGTGGGTCCTGTAGGATCTCAGACAGCAAATACAAATATGGCTATTGGACATTCCTGATTTTAGTAAAAAGGGAAACAAATTTCTCTATATGCTCAATCCCATTGAAATCAATAACAAAACTCATTGAGTTCATTGGGTCCATGGCCTGTCTCAGTTGATTTTCTAGTACATGAAAAGACCCCATTCTTTTTACAAATTCATGTAATAGTATGACATAATTATTTGGGGTTTTGAATCATAAGTTATAGCTCTATTTTTAAATTGCCATATCAGAAATACAAAAACAAACCACACATTACATGAATAATTTTTTTCAGGATATTAATACAATGTATTGAACTCCAAGACGTGTTGAGCACAGAAGACTGGCTACAAAGACTGGGTTTCAACATTATCTAGCAAAAATGATAGTGTAAAAGCCACTGGGCAGGCTTAAAGTTCATTCCTGGGTCTGGTTAAACTTTTTGGCATCAGAATATGTAATGGTCTTATAGCTGTAATACTTTAAAGTTAACGCCTGGCATCACTTCAAAACAATGTGCAAGATCTATCATAACTAGCCCTCTTATCTTATCTGAATAGCAATTTTATCCTGTAAATGATTTGAGACTACAGTATTTCAGTGCTGTGGAAAAGAGAGAGAGTTTTTTTCTGTTAAATCTTTGGTACTGCAAGTACCTTTAATTATTCCAATTTATTTATGGGTATTCCACGTTCAGTAGCATGTGATATCATACCACATGCTCTGCAAAATGCATTAAGGGAACACAATTTTGCTGATCTCTCTTTTACAGCAGATTTTAGAGTAGCATGTCCATGCTGTTTAGATTTTTAAAAGTCATTATAATTATATTTATTATGTATCGTCAGATCTAAATTTCCATTTTCAGAGACAGTCCTGACCCTGCTTTGTACTTTCCAGCTGATACACTAGCTGTGTTCCCATTTCCTAGTCTCCTACAGATAACCCTAAATGCTTCTCTTCTGCTACCATCACCACCTCTGTGATGGTGTCTCTCTAGCATAAGCATTGTGCACCTTGCTTCAAGTCAACTCTTGAGGTACCAATGCCCAGGTTCAAACAGGGGCCTATAATTAAGCTTTAGTAAGTAAATATTCAGTGTGCATTAAAACATTTAACGATAACATTAACAAACCTTTTTGTTAATTGTTCAGTTGTTGGAATTATCATATTTCGATTATAACCTCCTTGGGACATGAACTGTCTTTTTGTGTGTTCTTACATCATCTAGCACTTTGGAGCCTTGGCCTGAGAGTTGGGGTCTGAGGTCCAGCAATACAAATAAATAATAACAAACCAAATAAGTAATGGGCCTCATCTGATTTTATCAAAAATTGTGATGCTTTAAGAGCAAGACAAAGATCAGTTAAATTAGCATTGTTATTAGCAATCATTATTTATTGGATTTGTATTTCTCATTTGTATATATATGTGCTAGGTGCTTTGCTAGCAGGTAAAGCCTTACCTCAAAGAGCTTACAGTTTAAATAACCTTGAGTCCACTTCCACTGCAGATGCAAGACATGGTTCCTGAGAGAGCAGATTTCCCCCCCCCCACACCCCCTTAAGTCAAAGTACTGGTGCACCATGAAATCATTACAAACAAAACACAGATTGTACAAATAAAAAGAGTAAGGGGAACTTTATGAACATTAGCAATACTTGTAAATAGATGAGAGAGCTCAATTCTGCTACCCTTACTCCTACATTGGTAGTCCTGTTGTAATCAGCGGAACTACCTGTGTAGTAAGGGGCTAAGTGAGAATAAGTTTGTCAGTGGCTCTCGTGATATTGTTGAAAACGAAGATTGAAGAGTATAAAATACCCAGGACTTTCGCTACCAGCTGAACGCAATTACACCTCCACCCCGATATAACGCTGTCCTCGGGAGCCAAAAAATCTTACCGCGTTATCGGTGAAACCCTGTTATATCGAACTTGCTTTGATCCGCCGGAGCGCGCAGCCCCGCCCCCCCGGAGCACTGCTTTACCGCGTGATATCCGAATTCGTGTTATATCAGGTCGTGTTATATCGGGATAGAGGTGTTTATGGGTTTTTTTTTCCTTCCATCTTCTCATTTTTAACGTGTGTTTTGTATTGATCGATATTGTTTCAGGCTTTACAAGATGAAATGGAAAATTATTGCAATCAGGTACGGTCTACAGAAAAGAAGCTGCAGCATAAGGAGTTGGAGACACAGGAACAGGTAAACAGTACTGTCCTACTAGATTTCTTTCCTTGGGCAAACAAACTCGATGTTTGACAATAATACCTTGCTTCAAGACAAAAGCATATCTTCTACCATATTTTCAGCTAGCTTTCTTTTTTGTTTTTGTTAATAAAAGAGAATTAAACTGTCTGAACCCCAGGGGCAAATACTTATCCAATGCTCTTTGTTTCAAGATGGTATTTCAGCTATTTTAGCTGTTAAATGATGCTTTTTAGGCAACAATATTGTTTTGAATGGAGGTTTCTGGTATTACTATAACCTGTTATTTCATGACTTCTGTTAAGAGAGCTATAATTTGACAACACTTGGGATAAAAATAATGTTTATTGCAGATCTTATGCATTCATTGTGTTAGAGTATTGTACATAAATGATTCCATATGATTAGCACTGCTAAGATTATTCTGGACATGGTCAGTGAAATCAGAGATTCATTTTTCCTCAGTCTGCTCCATAGCAAAGCTCACTATTTGTAATGTACAGGTTGGGGAAATTAATCTAATATTGTTACCAGCAGGGCCGGCCCCAGGCAGCCAAAAAAAAAAAAAAAAAACGCCGCGATCGCGATCTGCGGCGGCATTTCAGCGGAAGGTCCTTTGCTCTGAGCGGGAGTGAGGGACTTGCCGCCGAATAGCTGGACCTGCTGCCCCTCTCCGGAGTGGCCGCCCCAAGCACCTGCTTGCCAAGCTGGTGCCTGGAGCCGGCCCTGGTTATCAGAATTGTTACATAAAATTATCACTGAAATGCAAAGTGATTTGCCTGCATTAGAACCATGTTGTAAATTGAAATGTGCAGGAAAATACAGAAGTAGTAGAGCTTGCACAAATCCACATATCCCAGTCTTTGATCATGTGCTCACACAAAGAATACCAACCTGATGTAAGGAGAGATGAGTTTGTAGAATCTCCCCTTGTCTCTACTGCTTTTTCTGTACTGACTTGTAAACACTTGTGCAGTGTTTCAGATCCTGATTTGGTGCCAAAGTGCCCATGGCTCATTCTTTCTGTTCCCGTGTCTGTACTTCCTAGGATAGTAACATTTCGGGATAATCATCGTCAGAGTATCTCAAAAAATTCATAATGATTAGCAAGTATTATTGTCCTATTTACAAATGGGGGCTGGCCCATTGAGACACAGACATATAGTGACTTGACCACGGTAGTATAGTGAGAGTAGCAGAGTCTGGAACAGAACCCAGCTTTCTTGAGTCCTGGGTCCCTCTCCAACTATTAAATAGTGTTTTCAAGCATCTCCTCTAGATGTGTCAAACTGTTTGCCTAGTCTTCTGCCCTAAGCTGTTTTTTCCTTCCAGTAGGTGTTTAACTCATTTTTAACGTATTCATATCTTAATAGTTGCAGTTCTGTTGGTGCCTTTGTTAGTTCATTCCACACATATCCTCTTGAATAAAAAGTTTCTTAGGAACTTCCTTAATACCCATTCCTTTCTTAGTTTCAGTTTATACCTTTCTAGCAGTTTTTATGGCATTCACCTTCAGTATTTATCTTCTACTTTACACCTCAGTAATGTCCACTCAACTTCCATTCCTTTTCTAATTCTTTTATCTCTGTCATGTAAAAGAGTTCCCCAAAATTGTACTTGTTCTTCTAAGCATTGGGTAATGTTCAGAAATGTCTGAAGTGACGTAGGATCCTAAGTCCCATTTTCAGACCTGAGGTAGAAGCCAAATTCCCATTGATTTTTGCACCATCAAGTCCAGAGCTGCTTCTGCAATTTGTTAATATATTAGCAATGGAAGATGCTGATTCTTAGCCCCAGTGAGTTAATCAACAATTGAGACTTTGTTGAATGAGTTCAATCTTACAAGGTTACTCATCTTACAAGGTTTTTTGGAGTCTTTCCTTTTAATTTTTTAATGTAGTCTCTCTCTCCAGTAACTCAATGGTAAAATGGATATCTGATATATTTTTCATTGTTATTCCTTGGCCAGACTACCCATAAATATGTTCAGAGAAGGGGCAATAATGGTAGACAGCCTCGGATCAGCCAGTGAGGCGGTTGAGATATTCAAGGCACTTACTTGGAACTTTCTTCCTACACTTACCAAATATTGTTGCCTCGATACCGCATTGCATAAAGGATTGAAATTTGCCTTGGCACCATTACAAAGGACCGTTTTCTGGGCTTTTACATGTCTCCTTTAAAAAAAATAATAGGAGGAAGGGGGTGGGGGTTAAACTGCTTCTGCTTTTCATTAAAAGGAAAAAATCTGTGTTTTGATTCTATAACAACAACAAATAAGTGAATGAGACATGAAAAAAATATTTTGTTGTGCTTTTAATTAAAAACAAAAAGCTGGTTCTTGTTATGGCTTGTTGGGTGGCATCTTAGTGCTACATGTTTGTCTTATTTCTGTAGGGACATCCTTATAACTCTGCAGTCTCCAGAAGTGATTGACGAATTTACTAAGCTTACTCTTTGTTCCTTACAAAGAATTAACCTGTTCCTTATTAAATTGGTCAAGACAGATGCAATATTTACACACACATTCCACACAAAAAAGCTATAAAAAGATTATTAAGGTTGCAAAGCACTAAGGCAACTAGAACTGAATGCAATATCCCAGTTGAGGGTAAGCTATTGATTTGTATAAAGTACTATAATATTTTCCATCTTGTTTTCTGGCCTAGTCTTTGTGCACCATAACATTTTGTTTGCGTATTTGACCACCACGGCATATTGAACAGAAGTTGTCATGCACTGTCTTTGTCTTTTTCCTGAATGGTTACATTTAATTTAGAACTCAACAATGTGGCTGAATGTTTCAGTTTATTCTTTCCAGTGTACATTACCTTGCATTTCTCAATATTGAGTCTCACCTGCTGACATGTTGCCCATTCCTCTACTTTTATTAAACCCCTTGAAAGTTTTTCAGTCTTCTTTAAATCTTGACTAACCTAAATTTTGCATCATCTGTAAATTTTGTTGTTCGCTCCATTTTCCAGTTCACTGAGAAATACATTAAGTAACACTAGTTCTCATGTGGAACCTTGGGGCACCTCATGCCTAATCTTTTGTGATGTTGAAATATTGAACATTTATTCCAAATATAAGCTTCCCAACCACTTGAGACATTTTAAAATTGTATTCCTGGTGGGCAACTAGAGAGAGGTCAGTAGAATTTGACTCAGAATATTGGAGATACGAGGTTTCCTTATAGGAGTGCCTGGACCGTTAAAACAACCCCAGAGAAGTTCCTGGGAAATCCAGGAGGCATCCCAATGTAGGAAATAACTAGAGCCATTTCCTAAAACAGGGCTTTAAGGTTTCTAGCTTCCCAGTAATATGTAGACTTCTGATTTTAGATTAGTTTCCCATATTGTCTGTTCTGTGTTGCAGCATTTAATTGTCTTTGATAAATGCATAGTTTCAGCATTGTCCTATACATTCAAGCTCTCTAATGGGAAGATCTGCATCCTTCACTTCACTGGAGAACCATTCTGTTTCTTGAATCATACGGCTTCATATCAAGCTGCCACCTTTATAGAAGTTATAAAATCTGAGTCATTATTGCAGCCATCCCTATATTGTTTGTATGACTTCAGTTCAGCAGGGGATGTAAGCACATGCTCATATCCCATTGACTTCAATGGGAATTAAGCATATGCTTCAAGTTAAGCACGTGCTTAAATGCTTTGCTAAATATGGGTGGACTTAAGCATGTGCTTAAGTGTTTTGCTGAATTGGGGCCTATGTAAACATCTATGGTAGATATCCCAGTCATATTCTGGCTTGAATATCTGGACTTCTTAAACAAAAAAAATTTAAAGCAACTGCCACACTGCAAAATATACAAAAAGCTTCTAGTAGACAGACCTCTGGGAAGTTCTCCCATGGGAACCTTACCTCAGAAACCATTTCAGAGTGTTGCTCCCCTGTTTACTTTTTCATTTTGAAAGGACTCCCAAAGATTTTAAATTTTGGAGTGGGAAAGACATTGGGTGAAGTTTGTACCCCATGAAAGAGGAAGAAAAAAATTATAAAATTCACCTTCTGCTCACAATGACATGAGCACTGTAGTACAGCTGCTACTTACAACACTGAAGATGTTTAAACCATAGCAATCATCCTCAAGGGTAAAAGCATCAGTCATGTCACAAAAAGAGCCTTAAAGGAGAGAGATGCTGTTCAGACAGAAAATCAATTATGTACAATTCATGAATATTATTGAGGGGAGTGAGGGTGAGTGCCAATACAGATTTCCAAGCCTTTAATTTCCATTTTCTCAAATTGATTAAAATAAAGGCAGAGGGAAATTAGATGAGTTAGGGTTGTGTTGGAGATATTTGGAGTGAAATCTGTTTAACAAAACAAAGCTGCTTCATTTTATTCCAAAGTACAAAATGAAAACAGGAGTGATAATTGAGAGCTGTGACTCAATAGCATTTATTGAATTTTTCATGTTTCATGTTTATTATTCTGACTTGCTTAATTTTATGACTGCTGGATATTTACCACATTCGGTTGCCATGCCAACTTAATATATTTGTTCACAGACAATGCTATTATGCAGCATTCTGAAATGTTGGTTCTTCAAGTGGTTGCAGACGTGTATTCCACTCAGAAGTGCACGTGCCCAGTGCACCAAAGCTTAGCAGTACCTGTGGGGAGTGGGTCAGCGCTCGCACACTTTGGCCCCCTAGCCCCTCCCCTAGCTATTTAAGGGCAGCACGCCCCGACCCTCCTTGGTTCCTTCTCACTGTCTGTGATTAGATTGTAGCGTTGTGTGTGGTATTTTACCTTATGCTTCTCTATTTCAGTCTTTCTGGAATTTTATTGTGTATAGTTAGATAGTTTAGTAGTACCCTTAGTTTTAGTTAGTAGAAGTCAGTTATGATCGATAGTTATCCTGGTATGATGCCATCACCACAGTTTAAACATTTTCCTTTGCATGGGTTGCTGTCCTCACTAGTGATTCCCAGATGTGGTGTTTGTTGTGCCTGGCAAAAGGGAACACT